TTATTATACTTCGAGGCCGATACCAGAAAAACCATTAGTGCCTCTTGACAATCAATCACCCATTTTAGAAGTAAGTGCTAAATATACTTTTAATATTTTTTATCTCTATGGACCGTAACCTAAAAAAAAATATTTGAAAAAGTTATAGGCATTTTTTATAATTTGAGTTCTTATTTTTTATTCTTTGCTGCTCCAGGCAAATAGAATGTACATATCATCTTGTAAAAATTTAGATTTCAGCTTCCTCTCTGAAAAGGAAAATATTTCAAACGTATTATTCTATTCTTTATTCTTCGTAATCCTCAAAAAATGTTGTCATTTTTAAAGTGTTACAAACGGCACTTTTCATTGCGTAAATAACAATTGCATTTTTCAATGACAACAATACGTTATTTAAATGAATATACAAATATATATGTATATATATGTATGCATATAAATATGGAAAATTTTTAAAAGAAACAATTATTTTTAAAATAAATTTTCCACCCACTATAAAAAATTTTTTTAGTCAAAACCAATTGCAGTATCAGAATTAATTGTTCATCTTTTATATCGCACATACCATACTCGTAAATAAATTTAAAATTTTTAAAAGAAAATTCAATAGATTTAAATTGAATAAAATATTATTCGATAATTCTTTTTATTTTCTACTTAAATTGAAGATATAAAACCAAAAAAAGAAGAATATTTAATAAATATATGTGAATGACGTCGAAAAGCATCATAGCCTCATTTTATTTTACTATTTTAGATACTATCCTTTAAGTCACTTAATAAGAATGCTCATTTTTAAAATTAGATACGCAATTTTTCTAATAATATTACTCATTTTTCAACAAAATTTTCTTATTTTTTCAAAGTACACGATGTAAAAATAGATAAATATATTAAAATATCGAACAAACTCGTCACTTTCAATATTAGAAGTGATTGAAAGGTTTTTAAATATTGGAAATTGTCGGCAAAACCGACGTACACGATACCTGAAACATTCTTCTCACTTGAATATAAGTGAGATATGGAATGACATACGTACACATACGTACCTAAAGCATGTTCCCAAGATTTTTTTAATAAGCAATTAATTTTCAACTATTAGTCAGTCGCTTAAATTACAAATTTCTTTTATATTCTTTTATATTATATTATATTAGAAAAAAACTTTATATTCTTTACGATTACTTTTACTAATTATAATTTTAAAAAGCAATAATTATTTTTGTCACCATTTTCCCTATTGGACAGGTGTATAACGTAAAATATTATAATTTTCATACATAAATATTTGCCAATAAATTTTCGTCATTATTTTAATAATTTTTGGTATCAGAACAATTTCAAAAAAATGAATCAGATTACATTAAATATTTTTCTTTTATTTATGACGGCATGTTTATAACATAATTCCAAAATATTTAAAAGAAAATAAGATTAAAAATCGTCATTCATTTTTTTTTTCGCGTTTTTCTTATAATAATTTTTATTCCTTTTTATTTTTTTTATTTTTTTTGTACAAATTCTAGAGCAAATTGTCGATGATCCACCTCATTTTTTATATATATTTATTTATTTTTTTTGTATCTTTTGGCGATAGATGAATTCTCTAAATTTAGTTCTTGTTAAATAATATATTTTGTTTGTAGCTGTTCTGTTGCTAATAATAAAAATATATATGTACGTACATATGTATGTTAAATTTTTCTTTATTAATTTTTATTTCAATATTTTAATTTTTAATCATTAATGAAGTTTAATAGCTCAAATATTATGTCAATCTCGTTAAGATAATCGATTCATTAAATTTTATTGATAAATAAATCGATTTTCCAAATCATAATTTCGTTTCTTTTAAATTTGCTTTTAATCGTCTTGTTTTGCATAGTTGTCAATTAATTCATTCTGAAAAGGTCGTATTATTGTTGCAATTAAATTTTTCAATTAAATATTTTAAATTCTTATCGTGCATTTTTAATTTCAGTTGCTATTTTGACCAGTTTTTTTAACACACTTTTAGTTTTGTCACTTAAATGCAATTTTTTAGCTAAATATGTGGTTACAAAAAGTAGTACAATGTATTTTGATTTTTTTTTTTAAGAAAAAAAAATGATGAGAAAATTTAAAACAATTTTTTTATACATTTAATTATGTAGACTCGTTTTTGAACTTTGATCTAAACTAGAATTAACAATTTTCAAACAACATGTTTTGATTGTCTGCCCATATGTTTTAATCGGATAGAGTAAATTGTTTTAATATTAAGAATATTTTTTTTATGCAGTTTGTGTTTTTAATAAACAAAAATAACTTCTCACAAATTATAAAGTATAAAGAAACGTGCTTAGCGAGAAAATTTATATAATTTTGTGTAAGTTTTTTTTTCGATAAAAGGTGATTGAAAATTGATTAAACTATTGTAATTGAGTGACTGACTACCATTAATTTATTGAGTACATCTTTGATTACGTTTGTATTTTTTGGGCCTGGTATTCTTGATTCAAATTCTACAATTCACTATCACAGTATATCATAGTACCATTGGTTTTCAAGCAGTACCATATTTATTATGTAAGGAAATGAAATTTTTAAAAATACGAGTTTAACGAACTTTTTCATACAAAATAAACATTATTTTATTACTGTAAGAATAATAACAATAAAAAGTGTAAAAAAATTCGTGTATGTACTTGTATATACATATTTATGTATACGTTAATTGGGAATATAGATCCTCACTTCGTAAAATTTTCATATAGTAGAACGATCAGTATAATGCATTCTGGCGTAATATTAACCAAAAATTGTTGAAAATATTTTGGTGTACGACCTACATATATTATGTTTGTGTGTATTATGTCAAGTGAAAGGTAACATATCAACTATGTGTGAAATTTATAACAATAGTTTCCTTAATTGATAAAATTCTTCAGATTTTTGATTGTCTCTTTAGATTTAGCTTTATTTGCATGTCACGGCGCTTGAACAAAAGTAATAAAATAAATAAAAATCAAATAAAAATATAGGTAAATGAAAATACTAATTTTAGTCGTTGTTGCCACTGTAATTATGCAGTGTTGAAAAAAAAAACTTTTTAATACAGTTCAATAATGCAAATCAGGCATGTGTAATCTCTACAGAATTTTGTACCAGTTTGAAAAGCAAGAAAGAACCTTGACATATAATTTCTGTAGTATAGTCTTGCGTTTTTTGATAGATGGCGAAAATGTAGACTTGTTTTAATTTTTCGCAGGCAATTAGTGTACTGCTGGCAGATTTATGGATTCAGGAGTCGCTGAAATCCCTGATAGAAAGCATGCTGTCAGGCAGGACTATCAAGCAACTTTCGGAAGAGGATTGTGCATAGAGCGATCTGTTAAAAAATGCACCCCTATAGTCTTATTTAATTAATTTTTTTTTTGTAAGAAATATATCTAAGCTTTCCAGAAATTGAACTAAAATTTCTTAATGCCAATAGATTTTACTAGCGTCAAAAATATATTCTTCGAGAATTTTCCTATAATCTAATGGAAAAATTTAACTTAAAGCAAAATAAATTGACTAAAAGGTTGCACATGCCTGAATTCTAAATAAAACATTTTCTAGTGGATCTTACCATTTTGAAGGTAATCATTAAATAGAAGACGATTTTAATTTAACGATACACAACATTGTTACTAAATTGTAAATTCGAAGAAGAACAAATCTCTAACCGTATTTGATCACTCCTTTTATTGGATTATTCTTAATTGAATAACTATTATTAATTAATTTATTACTGCATAGTAAATTAAAATATTACATTGTTTTTAAAAACCTAATTTCATCATTGTTTTCCTTTGATTTTTTTACCGACTGCATTGCATACAATAAAGGAGGTTATGTGATGACACCAAATTTCGGATGCCGAGTTTTCGGTGGAAACACACTCTTCCACGGTAGGGAAGTGTAAATAAACTATTTTTAGAAGTATGTAGGTCCATTGTTTTAGCTTTCGAAATGTCGATTTGTGTGTGTGTACGCATGTATCAAAAGTTGTGCTGAACCGATTTTGATGAGATTTTATATGTAAGATCACTTTGACTGTAGGACTTAATGATCAATTTTTGGGATATATCAGGCTGCGAGAAGTAAGCATATAAGAAGGTTAAATTCGAGGTGTTAAAATATTGAATCTGTAAATTTTTTTTGTAAAGATCAGGGCTTGGATATCTAACTAGGGGCTGATTTTACATTTTTTACCATATCTATGAAACTAATTGATGGCATTTTTTGAAATTTAATATTTGAGTTCTGGTTGTTACCGAAAATAAACTCTACTAAGATTTTTAACTTTCTTAAAATTTAAAAATAAAAATTTAAAAGTCATTTTCATAACCTTCTGTAATATCTGATGCGGTCGGTTATGTGTTGACCACATCAGATTTTTTTTTTAAATAAATCTTCAGAAAACTAAAAATAAAGATAAATATAAAAAAAATAAGAATAAAATTAAAAAAATAAAAGAAAATCACTTTCGTTTATCATCATCAACTTTTTAACTCTATGAATGTGTATTTTCCTCTTCTCTTATTTTTATATAAATAAAAAAAATTCCTTTTAGTTGTGGTCGATCTTTAAGACAATTCGGTTAAATTTTTGCAGGAAAAAAAATTATTAAGGAAAAACGGTCGGAAAAATTCATTTGGCAACAAATTTTTATAATTTTTTTTTTTTTTAAAAAAGTTTTTTTTTTTTTAATTTTTTTTATATATATTAGGGTGGCAAGCAATTAAAAAGTGATTTGTTAATTGTTACGTAAATTAAAAAATGCCTTAAAGGCACTTTTGCAAATTTTTTAATTTTTCTCTTTCTAAAATTTGTTAATCAAGTGCACTTATTAAGAAAATAATCATAAATACAACACGATTGAATAAAAAAAATTAAAATACAAAATAAACTAAGAAATTAAAAAAATAAACATAAACATAACCTATAATTAAGGATTAAAAAAATGCAGAAATAGACCCGCGCCATCTATTCAATTTGAAATTTAAAAAATAAAATTTTATAAAATTTTTACACACAATTTAATTTAAAGTAACATTTTTTTCTTCGTTATTTTTTTATAATACAAAAAAGAAGAAAAAATAATTAAAAAAATTAAATTATAGTATAGTAGCTCCAACAAAAAGATTAAAAAAAATTTAAATAAAGTTGGCAAAGATGCAAGGTCTAAGAAAAAATAAAATATAAAATATTCAGAATAAAATTTTTTTATAAATGTGAAAATACTTAAGAAATATTCATATATATATCAATATACATACATACATTTAAATAATAGAATATCTGTGATGTGATGATCTTCAGCCTTCAAAAAAAAAAAATTAATAAAATATTTTTACAAAGAAAGAACAGCAACAAACAAAAAGTTTAATAATAATAATAAAAACACCTTAAAAACTTAAGATTAAAAACAAAAGTATAAGAATAGTCAAAAAATTAATCTTATATGCATAAATGTTGATTAATTTATACATATGTTTATAATGTACATTTTCATGCAGCATTGTGCTTATGTTATGACTTATGACTATAGAAACATAAATTTCTTTTATGTTTGTTATTGAAATTTCTGCTTGTTTCCACACGGTTTTAAATTGACATTTAAGATTCATTTTTACAAAGTATTGCACATATGTTTTGTTACAGTTAACGCCATAATAATTTGCAAAAGCGAAATAAAGTTATAGAGAAACTGAAAATTATTTCTTGTTTGCTTTCTAAAAGAAATGTGTGAAAATAGAAAGCCGAAAATTCAAGCAAGTAGATCTTAGTGAAGACGTTATTTCTCTAGAATAACATTTTTTACTTATCTGTCCTTTCACCTTCAAGTAATAGTTTCTTAGAGTTGTGCAAATGTAAATTTTTGCAAGGTAACTGTGCCCAGCGGCACAGTTAACAAACTAATTGTGTAAACGCAGAAAGACAAGGATCCCTGTCATCATTATCGCAAAATATGGAATGAAAGTAACTATGAATGAAAGACAAAAACTACTTTTCATCAATGAAAAAATAAGTGAATAAAAAATTGCTGTTAATGACGACACCGCACACCGAAAATTAGTGACAGCTTCACAAAAATGTGAATGATAAAAACAATGATGACGAGCCCCAAAGACTTATTTCTTTTATAATTAAACAAGTTACCGGATGTTGACTTAATCCTTCTAATTAATCATTATTTCAAATCGGTTTTCACTCATTTTGTAAATAATTTTTTTCCTACACAGATTTGTTTCAATTTTCACAGTTGACATAGTACCAATTCTATGGATATCGATAAATATTTTATTTAATTAGAACAAAATTTCTTCATTAATAGATGAACCAATTTATTGTGACAATTTATTGTAATAAATTAATTAATTATTTTAGGTGTTCACTGTACATACATCCATAAATACAAACATTAATCAATACAATATAAATAGTTTTAAACTAAAACAAATTCAAAATATAAATATGTAGATAATATAATTAAAATAGATAGACAATAGACAAAACAAGATTATGTGCAATTTACGATTAAAAACAAAAATAAAGGATGTTGAAATAAATATGCTATTCAGGGATTTTTTATTTATACATTCTTATATTTACTATATACAAGCATACGTACATATATTTATCGTAATTATATATTTATTTGTCGTAATTACGGAATTAATAATTAATTTTATTTTATAGTTTAAAATATTAATAATAAATTTAAAATAATTAATATGGCAATGAAATTGAATGTTTCTTTATTCTTTGAAACAAAGTTTTTGACATTTTTGACGTTTCAGAAAACTAAAAACAAAAAAATAAAATAATAAAATCTTAAAATAGCATTCATTCAACATTTACATACATATAAATATTTAATGAAGAAAAACTTTATGAATAATTATTTTGCGTAAAATATTGATATTTCCTTAATTTTTGGTAGCCTTAAATTAATTGAAGTAATCGTATGAGAACAGATATTTAAATTTGTTTAAAAGTTGGACATTTTCTTTATTAATATAGTTTATCTTCTCTTGAATAAAAACTAGAAAAAAATTATTGACAGTGAGTAATTGACAATTAAAAAACTGAATTTTCTTGTCATGAGTAACTTTCAAAATTTACTTTTCGTATTTTCGATGTTGGACTAAAAACTGTACTTATAATTTTGTAACAATATATAATTGCAAAATTAATTGTAAACTTTATTGGTATATGTCAAATAATCGTTAAGTACAAAAACTTTGAAAATTTTTCTTATCACGTTCAATCCGTAAAGAATTTTATGGCATGTCTTTATTACTTATTATTGCGGCTGCTTAAAAACATTTCTGAAACTCAAATTTTTTAATTTTTTTTCTGTCATAATTCAATGGCATAGAAAAATGTTCATTCTATCTAAAACCATTTTGGGTTTGAGTAATATTACAGAGTAGTTTGGATTAGAGTGTTAACAGGACATTGTTAGCATGCAAATCCTCTTATAATATCAAAAATTAACCCTCTGTACCTTAATATTATGTATAAATGTATAAAATTAAATATTTTACATTATTTGAACTTTATTTTCTATATAAACAATTTAAAGCCATCTACCGGAGTTAATGTGTTATTTATTTGTGTGAAAAATTTAATTGGAATGCTCAATATTATTTTAATATTGTGTACTATTAAATTAAACATTTAATCATAAAAATATTTTAATATGTATAAGTATATGATTTTGAATTTATTTCTTGTTCGTAAACGAAAAACTTCACACGATATATTTCTAATAAACTTTTCTATAAAAAAAATTAAATAATTTTGTTTATTTGTTTTTGTTCAAGAAATGTTCACTTGATTTAAACAATCAACAGGTGATCCTAAAAAATAGAAAATTAAAAAAATTTTTCACACAATTTCACTAATATTCATGGAACGTAATACATACAAATAATAAATGTATATATAACATTATAACATTTTTATGTATGTGGCACCCATATTCTTAACTCATGCATTAAATATATAAGTATGTACATTTACATAGCAATATTTACCGGGAACAAATTCAAATTTGTTTATTTATTTATTAAATGAAAATTGCCTTTAAAAATTTTAAAATTTACTTTTTGATGTACCAAAAATTACACACAGTAATAAAATTTATTACTTGTTTAGACAATTAAGTTGCATTTCAAATTTATAATATATGTAATAAAAGTTTCGTGTTAATTAAAATGTCTTTAGAAATTTAATTTATTATAAAATACTTATTTATTGTATTTTTTTTTGCACATGGAAATTTTGCTATTGCAATTGTGATTGCAAAATTGCTATTGTCATTGTAATTGAGTTGAAGGTAGAAATGAATGTTGAGTTTTTAAAAGCGCACTGATGCAGTATAATTAAAACTGAAAAAATAGCTTTTTTCTTCATAATTTGATTGTACTTTTATAGCTCTATGCCAAAAGCACTGAAAACTTAGAAATCGAATTGTCAAAACTCCAAAATTAATAGCTAAATATACATATGTACATGCATGTATCAACTTTTTTTTAATTCAAAGCAAACTCACAAGTAGCTCGTAACGAGTACTTACTTAATAAAATAATAGAATTCAATACAATTAAATTCATACCATTCAATAAAATTCAAGTTATAACAAATTCATTTGTGTTTGAACAGACTGGTCCGAATTGTAGACTGGTTTAAGTCCATTCATGTTGGAAATTGGAAATGCCGCATAGGATTCGTATTTCTACAGTATTGTCGCTGTGCACATCTAAATTTCTTTCAATTTCCGAGTTAGATTTTATAATTTCACTTGCAAAATTGTAGATGAGTACTGCTTACATTATGTCCTTGTAATCTCTAATTTTTAGAAAATTGAATTTATGATGTATTAGAAGTTATCTTGTGTAGAACAAGCAAGTTTTTAATTGTTTTATTTTGTATAGTTTGGACGCAATTTAAGAAGATGTTGCACCGAACTGTAATAACATATTTAACTTCGCTATTGAAAAGGCTATAGTACAGTGTTGATTTATCAGACGCCGGTACACGACGCCCTATTATAACACCAACATATCTGTAGTTTTGAGCATTTTCAATTTTGTAATTATTATAATATATAGATAGCTTTTTAAATTTAGATTTGGTTAGAATATACATGAATATCTAGTTTTATTTAATTCGTGAATATTGTATATTAACATAGGTTTCAATAACTTTACTAAATACATATCAGATCGATAGAGGTCGAAAGTTTCTCACATTTTCCCTACCATCTGATTTTTTATAAATCGAAGTCATTTTACTAATCATAAGCATTCTTGGCAGAACAATTATTATATATTGCGATCATTAACTCAATCCACCTGAAATTGTTTCATTTATGTTCTTACTCACACTTATAAATTAAAGAGAAATTTGTAAATGTGTACATATGTACATATATTATTTGATACAGCGTTTATTTTATGCATATTTCAATATTTCTGTTCATGACTGACCTTCACCCAACAATTATTATCAAATTCACTAAGAAAGCGTTGACATTTCTTTTTTGTTTTTCTTTTTTGTCAAATGGAACATAACGATACCAGAATGAATAAAGAAAAAAACCAAATAAAACATTAAAATATGTTTATTACTTTATTTATGAAATAAAAATATAATTTTTTTTTTTGTATTATTTTTAAAAATTTTCTAATTTTAACAAACCAAAAATGACAACAAGAAAAAAAAATTAAATAAAAATTTGAATTTTTTTTTAAAAACTCATCATCCTTCAGCTCATTTTCAAAACTAAAATTCTTGACCATGACTTTGGATATAGATCGACCGTACGTTGCTGTTTAAGAGTTTTTTTTAAACATGTATGTGGTGATTGATGTTGAGTGGTGACCTACAAACAATAATAAAAAAATTAGTGTGTTTTTTTTTTTTTTTGGTTAAAGAACAAGAATTTTAAGTAACATAGGAGAAATGTACACGGTTTCAATAAAAAAAAGTCCAATTTCTTCATATTTTTTTACATTTTCATAGCGATTATGGTTACTCATAACGATAAAAATAAAAATTAAATTCAAAAAAATTACAATTAATTTCTAAATGAAAATGTTAAATGGCATTTATAAAAATGTTTTATGTTTTAAAAAAATCTACACTTTTTAATCATAAAAAAATTATAAAAATTTAAAATTAAAAAAAAAAATTTATTTCAATTTAAATGAGATTTTAAAATCAAAAAAACTCGTAATTTAATCATATTGTAGAATACTCTAGAAAACCTTTGTCATCACTTGATAAAAACCAAATGGCCGCGAGTTATGAAAATGACACTTTATCAAATCACTCGAAGAAAAATGACGATTATACGCTGATGAGATGTAAAGTTTTAAGGTGTTTTTTAATATTATTATTTTTTAACTTTTAAATTCTCAATTTTAAAAAAAAAATATTTATGGTATGAAATTTATTTTCAACAAATTTATGATTCTTTCATACGTTCATAATATAATTATTATGTAAAATATAATTTTAAAATTTTAAATGTGAAAATATAAAACATTCTTAATTTATTAATTTTTATTTAATAAATTTTATTTCTATAAATATTTTATAAATTTCTTTTCTATTTAAATTTATAACAAAAGCAGAAAATATGATATTATAATAAAATAATAAATGTACATATAAACATAAGTGAAAATAGGAAAGTTAGAAAACGGGAAAAAAAGAAGGCAATATGGAAAGATTATTTAAAGGAAAAGTGTGACAAAAAAGTGTCCTCATATTGACGTTTGTTTCTCTATTTAAAGACAAAAGAAAAACAAAAGAAAAAATAAGAAAGTGCTTAAAATTTTCATTATACATTCTTAATGTTATAATATTGTTCATAAATTGATGTTATAAGTAAAAAGAAAAGAAAGAAGTGAAAGTAAATATGGCTTGCTGTGGAACAATTACAACAATAAGGGCCCCTATAGACATGGCTCAACAGAGTGACATATTGAAGGTACAAAAAAGTATGATTAAGTACTTATTGGAGAAATGGGTGTTTCGGATATTGTGTTTCATCTTTTTGATATATATATATTTAAAGAAAATCTTTCAAAATACAAAACAAGAATACCAATGTGTTTCCAATAAAATGCGTTTCCAAGAATAGCAAATAAGTTAACTCAAAAAATTGTATGAAATTATCAGAATCAACTTCTATTTCTAAACTAACTATAAATAATTAATTAATTTGTTGAAAGTTCAATTCAATAATCTAATAGTTTTTATGATTTGAACTTATCACGCAACTTTGCGACCGTGCGATTTGACATATCTGATTAATTTATTGGAGGGTACTTGAAATATCTTGCTTAAGTCGACAGTAGATTTTCCGATATACAACTTCGGAAAACAATGTTTATGAACATGGAATTGGTAATATACCAATTGAAAAATTCGGAAAGTTGACTCAATTTTATTCGCTGAATTGGTAATTTATAACATAATCATGTTGTGACCAACGTTTGTACATGAAATTAGTTTAAAAGTAAACATAGTATAACAATTTTTCTGTATTTTTATTTAAATTTAAACTGAACGTATAAAATAAATGACAATATATTCTAAAATGCTGTGAATCGTATATTAATATTGCCCCTTTGTGTAATTTAATTTTAATACAAAAATATACGAAAATAATACATAATAACATTTTAATGAAAAATAAAATAAAAAGTTCAGAAACATAATTAGAAAAAATTTATTTATCTTTAGATCCTGTTTGCATTTTTACCCATACATCAATTACAAAATCTAATTTAATTAGAGTAATAGCAATTTATATTTGCTCGCATAAAAATTGTACATTGTTTGACTAGGCACTAGGGTGTATAAGAGTACAAATGTATATGTATATGAAATTTATAAGCTAAATTGGGTACTTTACATTTGTGTTTATATTCAAATTTTTAAATTTGGTATGCTAATCAGCTTTTCTTGCCAATTTATTGTTAGGCTTTTAATGTAGTTTCCAAATAACAAAATTATTTCATTATATTAAATTAATATAATTTTTATGAGACATTTAAAAGTAAACTCAGAAAATGTCAGAAAACAAAACAAAATGTTTGCACCCTAGCGATTTTAACTTTGTGATGCACTTTCATGTACATATGTATGAATCTATATAAATAAAATGCATTAGGGAAAAGTTAAAAATTGTTTTGAATTTTCTCAAAAGAAAAACTTTTAATCATTTTAATTAAGAAAATATTTTTTTTTTGTAATGAATGAAATTCAAAATAAAATTGTAATTAGTAATTTTTTCGTGAATAAAAATTCCTTCCCGCAAACACAACAAAATAAAAAAATTTAAAAAAAAATTCTCTGCCAAACACAAAATACAAATGACCAGGAAGACTTTGCACTGCCAAAAAATCAAAAGAATGGACATGTTGTTTCTATTTATTTTCACTTAATTTTTTAATTTTTGCACCTTTATTTTGAATGTATTACAAGATTTGAAAATTTGAATTGCAAATTTACTAAAATGAAATAATAAATACCATTTAGTGTTATACCCTATTTTGAGAAAATTCTAAATCAAAAATTAAATGATATTTTTAATGTGATCAGAATAAATGAAACACCGATATTTTCATAATTTATGATCAATAGGATTTTTTGGTATTTGTAGGGCAAAAAATTCTTTTTAATTATTTTTGAAAGTGATGTATGATGATAAATGATATTTGTTTTTAAGTATAAAAACAGAACCAAAGCGGTGAACGCCAACGGAGAAAGATTTCCGTCATTAACGCAGAGAAACGCGAAATGGCAAAATAAATTCAGAATTCAATATTTTGTCTACAATGTCATACACACATGGAAACAGATAATATCAACAACCGCCTGCTGTAAAATATGAATTAAGATTATTTAGTCGCCGTCGGTTGAATTCGTAGTGGTAGTTTCGCTTGATGGTGAACATATTTATACATACCATTAAAGAAAATCCTGTTTTATGTTTTTGCTTGAACTCTAAGTTTTTAGAATTTCTAAAAGTCGAACTTTATTTTCATTACGATTTTGTTTATACTTTGTCAAATAAATTGTTTTATGTTTGTACTCCATCTGGGAACAATTGTTACTTTTGACAATACAATATGTACATACTTATGTATGTTAATAACAAAAGTAACTATATACTGCTATTACCCTGCGACTAAATGAATCACTAAAACTCAAAATTGCTCTATGATCTTTATTTTATTTAATACAATGCTAAATAAAGCCATCTATACCCATATGATGTACATACGAAATTATGTGTGTACTTTTGTGTAAAATTTTCAATAATGTTTCATTTTTTAAATTTTCCCTGTTTGCACTTTTGCCATTCGTGACTTTAATTTAACAAGTTATAATGCAACAATTTGTTCTTTTTTGTGATTTTTTATTAAAAGTCGCAATGCTTATAAATTTTGAAAATAAATAAATATCGTAAACACAATAGGAAAGGAAACAAACAATATTGTCAATTGGAAAAAAATTAAAAATATTTTTTACTGCACTCATTATTTTACGTCACATTTATATGGTAATTTCAAATAGCTTAAATTTTTTTTTAAATGAAGTATTTTATTTAAATATTTATTTTTTATTTAACATAAAAAAAAAAATTAAAATTTCAAAAAATTAAATTTTATTAAAAAAAAAAAAAACTGCACTTTACTGTTTCCGCCCGGGTTCGAACCGGGGACCTTGTGCGTGTGAAGCACACGTGATAACCACTACACTACGGAAACTTCAAATAAAATTGGGAAAATGACATAATAAAGCTATTTGATTGAAATTATTTTTAAATTTTCAAGTAAATGAAAAAGAATTGAGTGTTTTCAATTGAGTACAAAATCATGTTCGTCAGATTCAATTTTTCTACCAATTCACTCAACAAATACATTGACATACTTTTACAAATGCATTTACAATTTATTTTATAGAATTTATATCTAATTCTACAATATTATTTATTAAAATTAACAATTTAAACAATTGCAGGGGCCCGAGCAGATACATGTTTCGAAATTTTACAAAGAGTCAACAAAAGGGAAATTTGTGAGTTACATCAATGAAAATGCAAGAACCTTATACCAAACATTTAGAATTGGCGCATACGATTCAAATAATGGACCATGTTTAGGATGGCGGGATAATTTAAACGCTCCTTATCAGGTATATTTATGGAATTTTATATTTTATCTGTTTTATTAATTAATCAGTTCCGTATTATGTGTGTATGTATGCATGTATATAAAATAAATATTAAACAATATTTTATATTACTTTCATTAATTTTCAATATATTTTTTAGTGGATGCACTATGATGAAACATTATTAAAAGCAAAAAATTTTGGTGCTGGTATGGTGTCACTTGGCGTTAAAATACGTCAATTGGTTGGTATTTATTCGCAAAATCGTCCTGAATGGATTTTATTCGAACAGGGATGTTATTGTTATTCGTTAGTTGTAGTTCCTTTATACGATACCCTAGGACCAGAAGCATGTGGTTTTATTATCAGACAAACTGAAATAACATTAGTTGTAGTTGAGGATGACAATAAAGCCAATATGCTATTAGATAAAGCACCCCCATCTCTGAAAACTTTAGTTAATATTAAGCCTCTTAAAAAGGAGACAATAGAAAAGGCTCAGAGTCGGGGTGTTAATATTTATACATTTGATGAAGTAGAAAAATTAGGTGCAAAATATAACCCGCCTGAAGTGCCTCCACAACCAGAAGATCTTTGTACAATATGTTATACTTCTGGAACAACCGGTAATCCCAAAGGGGTCATGTTAACCCATGCAAATGTTGTCGCTGGTGTATGCGCTGTAATTTTACAGTTAGGTAATGAAGTAATGCAAAAAACCAAAAACAAATAATAATTGGATTGACAATTTCTTCAAAAATTTTTTAATTTTTTATATTTACAGGAGAACATAAAATTAGAGCCGGCGACATAATGGTATCATTTTTACCTTTAGCACATATGTTTGAGAGATGTTGTGAAAATGGAATGTACTATGTTGGTGGGGCCGTTGGATTTTATTCTGGAGATATAAGACAACTAACAAATGATTTCAAAGCTTTGAAACCAACTGTTATGCCAGCCGTTCCAAGATTATTAAATAGAGTTTATGACAAAATTCAAACAGATCTTGCCAATTCTCCAGTTAAAAGAACCTTATTTAGAATGGCTCTCAGTTCTAAAGAAGCTGAGATAAAACGAGGAATAATAAGACGAAATGGTTTTTGGGATAAATTAGTATTTAAAAAAGTTCATGAAGGTGACAAGTAATTTCTTAAACTAAATATTTAAAATATCAATAATGAAATTGTTTTAGCCTTTGGGGGAAATTTAAGATTGATGGTTGTGGCGTCAGCACCCTTAGCAGGTAATGTTTTGACTTTTATGCGTTGTGCTTTGGGTTGCTTGGTTGTTGAAGGCTATGGTCAAACTGAATGTACCGGAGCTATTTCACTTACAGTGCAAGGTGATTATGTTCCCGATCACGTTGGACCACCAGTATCATGTAACGCAGTAAAGGTAAGAATTAATAGAAAAAAAATATAAAATGAAAATGTAATTCAAAAATATTTATGTTATTTTTTAGTTGGTTGATGTTCCAGAAATGGAATATTATGCAAGTCAAAATACTGGTGAAGTATGTGTTCGTGGTTCTAATGTATTCCATGGGTAAGGTTTTATTATAACTACAAATTAATTTTTTGTATAAAATTTTGTGTATAACAGCTATTATAAAGATCCGGAAAAAACTAATGAAGCTATTGATGAAGATGGATGGCATCATACTGGTGATATAGGTAAATGGTTACCTAATGGAGCATTAAAAATAATTGATAGAAGGAAACATATATTTAAATTGAGTCAAGGCGAATATATTGTTCCAGAAAAAATTGAAAATATTTATATAAGGAGCCAGTATGTAAATCAAATATTTGTGTATGGAGAAAGTCTGAAGGTAAAATATTAATTATTGTTAGCATTATATTATTTGATCAAATTTGTGTCGCATGCATCTATTTTCAAAAATTAAATTAATATTTTCCATTATAGAGCTGTATTGTAGCAGTAGTTGTTCCTGATGTAGAAAATCTCAAATTTTGGGCAAAAGAAAATAACATTCATGGAACACTATCAATTTTGTGTAATAACAGTAAAGTGAAAAAATTAATTATGCATAATATGTTGGAAACGGGTAAAAAATCTGGACTAAAATCATTCGAACAGGTAATTTTTACAAATTTAATGATTTAATGAATTTTAATTTAATGATCGGTAATTTTTTTTTGTCTTTTTTTCTATTTTTGTTTAATAAATTTAGGTTAAAGATATATACCTGCATCCAGATCCATTTTCAGTACAAAATGGCTTATTAACACCAACATTTAAAACTAAACGACCGCAACTGAAGAGTTACTTTAAACCGCAACTGGATGACATGTATAAACATCTAGACTAATTTAATGCAAATAATTAATGATAAATTTATAAATAAATTCAAATATCATTATAAAATAAGTACATAATTAATAATATGTAATGAAATTGAGAAAGAAAAATTTAATTGAAAACTAAGATGATACAGAAAAAAAAAAACACGAAATTTAATAAAAAAAGAAAAGTTAAAAACAATTCTTAGATATTAATTATAAAATTTGAAAAATTCAAAGTTAAATTATTTAATTTATAATTTATTTTAATTCAATTTTATAAAATTTAAATATTATTATAAAATCATTATAATAAATTACATTCAAAATTTTGTAGTTTTTAAAAAAATACTACAATGAAATGGTAGTATAAGTAGAAAAATTAGTTTAAACATTTTATGATTGGGAAAAAAGATATTATTCATATTAACTTCCAAATAATAATGTAAAAAAAAAAACATTTTAATAAAGGAAGATTAAATTATTTTATAATCGTTTCTAGAAGAGTAGGAAATTTTTAAACCAATAAAATCATAGATTTGTTTAAAAAGATTATTATAATTTTATTTCTTGCTTAATTTTTTTCTATTTGATCATCAAAAAAATTTAACTTCAATTAGTTTGTTTTATCTAATTTTATTTTAATTCTTTTTTTATTTTTATATAAAATTAATGTGCACTTTCAAATCAGTATGTAAAACAAAAGCATTAATATAAAAAATCAAGATGAAATAAAATTAAAAATCCAAATTCTTATTTAGTTTGTTGTTTATTGTTAAATATTCGATTTAAATGGTTTGTATAGCAAAATTAACACAAAAAAATAAATGAAAGATTTTTAATATTCAAATTAAATAATATGAAAGATAAATTGTTGGAATCATTCAGAAAACTATTTTTAAAACGCTTAATATATTTTTATATTAACAAAACAAAAACATCTTAACAATTTTAAAACAATTATTTAAACCCAAAATAATAATCAAAAATAGAAAAAACATTCCAATATTATTTTCCTAATCTTAATTTTTAATTTTTTTTTTTGCTCTACGCTTTTAAAGAATTTTTCTAATTTCATATTCTTACAATAATAGAAAATATTTGCATATTGAAATGATTAGGTCTTTCTTTCATCCTTTTATTGGAAAATCTGAATTCTGCAAAATTTTTCAACAATTTTAAGATCCAAAAGCAAAATAACTGATAACTTGCAATTTTATTATTATTTTTTATTAAAATATTCAATATATTGCGAGAACAAAATATTGTTAAACAAATATTATATAAAGCAAGTGCATTATAAAAATAATATTTGAAAAAACAATAATTTCAAAAAAAAATCAGTGGTCTTAGTATTCAAATTATAGTGAAAATGTATGAATTATAATGAAAGTGTATATTAAATAAAAATATTAAGTTTAAAGTATGAAATTTGGGCAAAGATAAAACTTTGTTACCTAAAGAGAAAAGATCTATAATAATAATTAGCTTGTAAAAACCAATACCTAAATATGTCTCCAACTTCTTCAAAATATAGAATTTATTTTTCTTTACATAATTTTTTATTTTCTTTTTTGTTTCATAAGTTTTATTTTACAAACTTATTTATCTATTATTTAATATTAGAAAGAACATGAATACAACAAGCTATATTCTGTTAGTCTTTCATCACTTGACGTAATATTTTGCATAAAATCAATTTTGAAATTTGAAATTCTACAATGAAAACTGAAATATTTTTCGATATTTTTCCTATGATTTCATGTGAGGCGACTAAGAGAATATGAGTGGAACATTTTACTGAGATCACTGATCAAAATTAGAAATATGATTTTTATAACCATTCATCATAACTATAATATAATAAATGTATACATAAAGGAAGAATGTTCTAGTTTACAACCACCATCATTAATGATAAAACCAAAGAAATTGAGGAAAAATACCAAAACTAAGGATTTGGTTTTTTTTTTAATTTATAATTACAATAAGTATGTAATATAAAACAAAAAAAATCGCTTTTACCTGTCAATTTAATAGAAATTAAATTTTATATTTGAAACTGCAAAAACATATTAAAAACAAAACTATATTATTATAACGACACAAGAATAAAAAATATAGCTTAATAAAATGCCGAATTTCGAAACTTGAAGAAAATTGTTATTAAAATATTAAAAAAAAACAGCAAAAAATTTTTCTTTCAAAATATGTTATGAAAAGCTGCTAAGCAGTTTATAAGTTTTTAATATCATTAATTTTTAAATAATAAATTACAAATTGGAAAAAAGCAATTATAAAAAAAATATCTTGTATATTCATAAAATTCAAATAACTTTATGTAGGAAGGAATTAAACTTATAAAATCGAAAAAAATTACATAATAAAAATTAAATTAAATCAATGCAGTAGAGAATTTTATTTAAATTGTAATATTGCTTTTAAATTATACGTACTTTAATTGGATAAGAAATAGTAAGTAGATATTTAGAAAAGTATTTTCGAAAATTATAATCCTTTAATTTGCCGATTGCATCCAAATGCTTTAATTTTATTACAATCTAGTTCAAAAACCTGAAAAACTATAACGTTACGTAACATACTATGTCAATATGCATAATTTTAATTTGTTCTTTTTAAATCCAAAAAAAGTTATTTGACAGAAATTTCAAAAATATCATCACTTGAGAAAGGGAAGGATGGATCTAAAGAGAAAATACAAATATTTAATCTAATTTATTTTTTTATTATTAGAAGTACTTAATATACACATATATAGATACAAAATTTATAATACCCTTATATCTATATTTTGTTTTAACATTTTTTCCACGTTTTTTAGTTTTTTAAAACGGCTAAGTTTACTAAAGAATAATTATATATACACATACGGTTATATATATATAATATATAACAAATATAAATATATCTTAAAATTAAAAACTATTAAACTTTACATCAACATTGGTTAAAATAATTTAGGATTCTCATTAAAATTTAAACTTTGTTCAATTCATATTTGTTTACTCCTTTTATGAGTAAGCAAATATTATTTTTATTATATTTATTCTGGTAAATGTAGAATTCACGACATTACTCTTATGAAAAAAAAAATAAATAAAAATTGATGTAATTATATTTTTAAGAATAGTAATTACAATATTTTTAAAAGCGGATTATGCAAATTAATTAAAGTGCATTAAGGTAACAAAAAATCCTTCGCTACGAAATTGCACTTACCCTGTGTTATACATATTTCATTAAAAATGTAAAATTTTTTATAAAGAAATAAATGCTTATACGGTTTTCTTTTGACAAATCTAATTTAATTTAATTTTTGTTAATAAATTAATTTAATAATGCAGAAATTGGCTTTTATAATAGATAAATGTATTATAAAAATTCCAATATACATATGTATGTGTTACTTTTATATAAATATATAAAATTTGCAGTGCAAATACAATGAAATGTAAGTAAAATTTGTTCAGAATTGCATAATTGTTCATTAAGAATTCAAAAAAGTTTCGTTAAAATTACGAAATTTTTCGTTAATAACTCTTAAAATTTCAATTTGTAAGTCCGTAAAAGCAATTGGTGATAATTTGGCACGTCTAACTTTCATGGATATGGCTCTAAAAAATGCATCAATTTCATCATCTTCGGCGGTTAAACGTGATGTCGTTGGACAATTTGTCGTATTTGCTACAGTTAAACTGTTATTATTTGGGGTATTAGTTGTATTAGCAATAGTTGTAATAGTAGCAGTTTCAATGTGCTGAATATTTGTAGGATGTATTGTTTGCGTTGTATGCTGTTCTATTTGATGAGTATTTTGCTGCTTTGGAGAAGTATTAGTTGCACTCGTTAACGGAGTCAAAGTGGAAATGTGTGATTTTCCATCTTCAAAAGTAACAATATTGTCTTCCTCCATAGTTACATTACCATCTTGATCGATCATATACTCTGAGTATATTGAATTATCATCTTTAATAATATGATGCGTTGGTTGATTTTGAATTGAATGCTCGTGTTGTTGTTGTGTTTGATGATGTTGTTGGGGTTGTTGAATTCCAGTATTGATTAATTCAAGCGACGTTGGTACCATATGTGGTTCTATTTTAACAGCAGAATCATCTTTTTCTCTAAAAATAAACAAAAATTTTAATTAGGATTTTATTTTGTTAAACTTCAATTAGTTTATAATGCTCAAAATGTGAAAAGTCTTATGCACATCTTTCTTATATTTCACACACTCTTTCCTTAAAAATCTCACCATATAAAATTAACTTTGAATTTATAGAAAAAATTGTGTGAAAAAAGGTGTAAATGTTTTTAAAATATAAGTTATTAGTCAAGGCAATATTGCAAATTACTTTCGTTCTCTTATAAATTCTTCAAGATAAGATAATGCATCAAAATGCCTCCAACGAGGTGTTTCGTCTAAATTGATTGGTTGTTTCAAACTTTTCCTTTTTAGCCGTTTATGTTCTCTTGTATATTGATCTCTCAAAGCTTTCCATTTTAATCGACATTGTTTAACTTAATTAAGAAATTAATTTAAAATGCATTTATTTACTACATTAATTTTTAATATTATTTACCAGAAGTTTTCAATTTTCTTGCAATTTCTTCCCATGTTTGAGTTTTTATATCAAAACTCCGATAATGTGGATGTGATCTGTTATAGAGACATTCTTCATATTTGACTAAATTAATAAGTTCCTTTTCGAAATATCCCTCAATTTTTAAAAATGTATGTATGGATACATCGCCAACGTCACCAACATCTTCTTCCTCATCTTGAGGCTGATGGGGATGTTGCTGAGCTACTGCTACCGTCTGATGAATGCTCGGTTGTTGATGTAATTGTTGTTGTTGCTGGTTATGGTCAACCGTTGCTACTGGTGAAGTTGTAGTTGTCAACGCACTATTGTCAAATCCTTGCTCGCCAAAATCTGCACCATTTGGGTCTAGGAATTCCCAAGTTTCTTGATTTTCTTCACCAAGATCTGAATTTTGAGAAATAGCTATACCAACTGTAGAAGTTTTTTCCTTTTTAATAGACGCCGCCGTTTCATTTAATCTAACATAAAAATTATTCCTAATTTTCCTTCAAAGAAATAAATTAACTGACATACTCAACTCTTGTTGTGATGAATGATTTTAAAAAATCTAATTCATTGAAATGTTTCCACCTTACGTTGTCCTCTTTATTTGATCGTGTTAGACGCTTTAGTTCTCTTGCATATTGATCTCTTAATGCCTTCCATTTGGCCTTACAATCTTTCGCTAAATTAAATTTGTTTTGAAAAATTATTGATACTTTTAATGAAAACAAACTCTTACATGTTGAACTCAATTGTTCAGCGATTGTGAGCCACATTTTTTGTTTTTGTAAACCATTTCTATAGTATGGATGGAACCTATTGTAAAGATACTCTTCTGGCTTTACTAAACTAATAAGAAGCCTTTCAAGTCTATCAGTTTTTTGAGCTTCAGGCTTCATTTTTATTTACCGAAAATTGCATAAACTTATTTCAGTTGATTTATGTTGCTGCCGTTATTTTGTACAAATATATTTCATTAATAATATTTTATTATTTTTTATTGCAATTCGTGTAGTATACTGCTACAAAAATAATCTTTCAAGATACAAAAATAATCAGAGAACTACTTTAAAGCGGCCATTTTCTAACTACACCACTACAAAAACAACATGAAGTTGAATTACTAGAGTCACTGTGTATCAGTATACAATTTGCGTTGCGGCGTTAGGAAATCTGGAAAATAGAATGAAGTTTATCTCATACAAAAGAGCATATTTTGACATCAATCGAAACAATGGATATGAAACACAGATTCATAAAACTTTTCCTAACCAACATGTTGAGAATGTTGTTTAATTAAATTCATCTACTTTACAGTTTCGCCAGTTTTTATGCATTTTTCGCCAGTTTTATGCATTTTGTAAATTTTTACATTTTCCATATTTTAAGTGCCATTTATTTCCTCTTTTCCAGAAAGATATTTCAAAATCCGACTTAAGTTATATAAAAAAACCTTGAACTTATCGTTAGTTAAGCATATTGAACACATTTAAACACCATTCTTGTCAAAAAAAATGTCAAATAAAGTGAAAAAATGGTAGGAATTTTTACATGAACCAAAGAACTATCAAGCAGACAATAAGTTCGAATTGAAATAGCTCGGCTTAAAAGCGACGAACCAATGAATTCACAAGCGAAGTACTTCTTTAGTAATTTGCAGAGGCGTATTATCTTGATCTGAAACTAAATGCAATAAGTTTAAAAGTTTCAAAATTTTAAATTTATAAAATAAATTTTGAGAACAAAAGATAAAGAGTATGAAAAGATAAAATTTTTTTCCAATTTTAAAAGTGCAACTGTAATTAATCAAAAAGAACATACAAAATTTTTTAGAACAAATTTGTATATTGTAAAAAATTAAAAAAATTCGTCTGGCGATATTCTACAAGAATCAAAAAACTCGGAACTTAGACAAACAGAACAAATCGTGCAGAACAGGAAACAGAACTGGTTTTTACATTTGGTACGCGGTGGTACTACTAATAATATTTGTGGAACTTCACATGCTTGACATTTTGCCATACTGTGTCAAATCAACTCTGAAAAGTATGAAATATGAAAATCGACTCGAAAATTGGATGATGGTACGTATGGGATATGAGCATGTATGTAATATCAATATTCAGTAATATATACATATGTATATGCACAATAAAAAAATTGAAGTTCCTTAATTTAAAAGTTTATTGAAATTGGAGTAAGCATAATACAATATCTATTATAAGTATTGGCAATTAAAACAATGAATTAACGAACAAACTTGGTTTGTTCCATTTTCACTTCGGTATAGTTCTTTCAAAATTGGATTAGTAATAACTTACGTAGTTGTTTATCATTCATATAATAATTAACAATTTTTTTATAAATGTCACTATTTAGGAATAGAATATTACAAAAATTTAAGCTTTTAATAAATATAATATATAAGAAGAGATATGGAAATTGTAATTTAAAATTTATCTGCTACTACGAAGAGAATCCAGCTCATTCTGTATCAATTCCAGCTGATTATATAAATGTGAAAGTTCTTCATGGCTCATTTCTAAATCTATGTTTGGTCCTTCAACAGTTCGTAACTGTAAGCAAGCTATTGGAGTTTTCTCTTTTTGTTGACAATGTGAAGCCATTTGAACTTTTAATTTCCATGTTACGTCGTTCAATTCATTTTCACTAATATTTTTTGATTCTAGGTTGTCTAGAATTGGTTTAGTGTTTTTTATCCATAACTTAATAATAGCATCTACTTTATCATCCCCAATACGCAATTTCTCACGTAATTCACTCTGTAATTTTGTCGGCTTTATTATAAATGTTGAAGTCCTTTTCAAAATATATGAAAGAGTTTTGATCTAAAAAGAAAAATATATTACTATCTAATATGACTAGGGACATGCTTATTGTATTAATGAGGTCCAAAGTATGTATGCATATGTAAATAAAGTATTTTATATACATATGTATGTAGGTAAATATGTTAAACGTGCATGTTTAATATTCGTATGCTATTAAATTATCATACCAATAACAAAAAATCAGTTCTTGGAACTCCAACTAGTTTTTCTAAATCTTCCAAAGCGTTTTCAGGCTCATCGTGGTCTTCATGATTCATGTTTCTGTCAACATAATCTAATACAGTGCAGAAAACTTCATACTTTAAATTATTTACTATCTTGATTCCTTCTCTAGCTCTGAAAAAAAATGTTTGAAAATCAATACATTATATTTTAAATTCATTAATTATTTATACCTCTCTGTTATTTTAATCCAGTGCAAGCTCATTGTTTGAAGAAAATTGAATTTCTTTGAAAACGGGTTGAGATGTAAACAAAACAATTTTTACTTTTGTACAGATTACAGCAATAGTGCAATACTATGCTGAATGCAGATACCTCTAGGTAGAAATAGTTAATATTGACGTTTTTAGTGGTGATACTGTCAAAATATTGTGTTGTCAATAATATTGTATATGAATACACCTATCCTGCATTTCACGCAGTAATTAACAAGTTTCGCGTAATTTTTCGAATCAACGGTAAGAGATTTAGAGTTTTATGTAAATTTTTGACACGAATCATTTAAGTGTAAAAGCAGAACCAAAGCTGGGGACGAAAACGGTGAACGATTCCCGTTGCTAAGGCAGAAAACAGCGAAACGGTAGAATTGGCTGTTCACTATTTTGTATATAACATCAAACACATATGGAAACAGATTATGTAAAAAAAAATCGTCAGCATTTCACTGTTGTTTTGTGTTACCAACGGAAATCGTCCGCCGTTGCCGTTCAACGCCTTGTTTCTGACTCTACACTTAAGCTGGATTTATTGGTTTGTCAGTTAAACGACGAGCTACTGTATTTTACATGAAAATTTGAATTATTGACAATCTTTTTATTTTTAGTACAGTTTTTTTATTCTTTCTCAAGAAGTTGAATCAACTTTAACTTTAGTGCGGAGGTTTTTTAAAACGTCAAATTTATATATTTTACACTATTACAATTACATATAATTCTTGTCAAAAAGTAATAAATGCATTATAACAAAAAAAAAAACTATCAGCTTTTTTCAAACGAACCAATGAACAATCAAGAGAAAAAATAGTTCGACTTTAAATAGTTCAGCTCAAAAATGACGAACCAATGAATCCAGCTTTAAGAGCGTATGAAATAAAGTAATGCCATATAAATCTATCAGGCCACCAAGGAGATGGTGCCGGAAATTATTTGTGTAAAGGAAATTACTTAACATTTCCAACTCTATTGATTCTATATTTTTTTTAATTTAAAGTTTAAATTTGAACAAAATCGGTTGGTAAATTCTATCTGAAAAGTGTATTTAAAATAAAAAAAAAATTGCAATTTTTAACGCAGCCAACCTTTTCTGTCTTCCAAATGGTACGGTTCTGAATTAAAGAGTAAGGTTTTTGAATAAGAAACTAAAAAAAAAGTCATAACAAATTATCATAATCTACATCGCTTTTAAAATCATACTAAATAAAATAAGAGTCACAAAGAAATTTTACAAAAAAAAAAACATAAAAAAAAATTAAATAGAAATACATACTTCGAAAATTTAAACATTAAGAACTGTTTCTGTAAAATTTGAAGATTGCAATATTTTAGAAAATAAGTTGAGCTTGGTGGCCTGATAGATATAATGGTATTAAATAAACAATAACAAAAATGTTAATACGACAGTTTTCGAAATTATGAAAGTAAATATTTTTTGTGTTTCAAGTCGTTTGAAATTTTTTGATTCTAGCGGGAAGAAATTCTTTTGATTCTACCTACATTTATTCGATCGTTTACATAGGTAAGTTATTTGCCAGGAAATTCATGTAACATAAATGTGATTTGGTTTTTAAATGTACAATAAAACATCCAATTAGTAAATATACAATTAGTAATCGTGTTTTAAAAATTTGGAAACAAATGTACCGTTATTTTGCGATTTGTGAAGCTCAAATATGTTGTTTTAATTTGTCTAAAAAAGAAAGAAATAAAAAGGAAAATTTTGAGAATTTGGAAGTGTTCTCTAACCGCACTAGATTTATTCGTGTTCTTTGGAATCCAAGAAATCAAAAATAAGTTTATGAATTATATTTAACAATTGTATATTGCTAAATAGGTTTGTTAACCTTAACATAAAAAAATATCAATGTAAATTCGTCTGCTCTAAACTGTCATTCTCTCTGGGGGGCCAGGGTAAGTCTGATAAATTTAAAACAAATGCATTATGTATAAGTAATATAACAATTATGTACATATATTTCAATTGAATTTTATAGATATGTATAATTCCATATAAAAATATAAAATCATGTCACAGAATAAATCTGATATGTATGTGCAGGTTACTCCTTTGTACGTACACATGTAAATACATATGGTATGTGCATACATAAAAAGCCTGTCTAGTTAGAAATGTTATTTTCTTGGAATGTTACGCTTTTGGAGGATGATAGGCAAATTCAAACTAATGATTATAACCTATGAGTTATGAATTATCATAGTATCATACTGCCTTTGTATATCAAGTGGAACTGAAGGTATCGTTTTCACCAGTTGTAAATAGTTTTTTGCAAATTTATAAGTACTTCCTGGTAAGTGCGCTTTTACAATTGATTTATTAGCATGAATTCATCAGTTAGCTAAACAGTTCTGGCAAATTCTTTGCCCACCACTTGTGAATTTTGCTAATCTGCTAATTGTTTTGCATTTATATTTGCATAGGATCCTGATTTCAATCAACGGCTACTACATTTTGTAGCTGATCATATTAAGTCGCTTATATTTTAACCACCAGTGAATTTGCATTTCTAAAATTTACCACTGTAAATAAATAAACATTTGAAAAGTTGATTATATTTAAACAAATAACATAATACAGTTAAATTTTTATGAAACGGACATCTATAAGGCATAAATTTATTTTATTTCTATTGAGAGAAAAACTTATGGAATTTTGGGTGCTTGTATCGCGATCACTCTCACAATATTGTATAACATGCAAAATCAATGTGAGAACTAATAATATTAAGTAAAAACAATTATTTTTGCACTTTCCAATCGAAAATTAATTGCAATTAAAGCGTAAGAATAAATTTTAAATAGGAATGAAACACCTACCATTTTCACTTGATGGTTTCTTTCTGAAATATAAAAAATAATGTTTTATTCTAATAATGTTGCATAAAACTAATTTACCTTCGACATTTTACTATTGCCACCATAATAACTGCTCCTAAAACTGCAGATAATATTGAAACTACAAATAATGTTAATGGCCATCCAATTTCAAAAATTTTTTCTATAAATAGACATACGTATATGTATGTATGTATGTAGATACATACATTTCTTTTAATAATATTTTTATCATAGAGATGGTAAATTATTGACGAACACAATTTACGATATACATACTTAAGTACATACATAAATAATTAAAAAGTATGAACTAACTAAAAAGAAACTTGTGACCATACCTGTTGCTCCATCAAATATGAATGTCTTTTTTGTTGGTAAGGCCCAGCTACATAAATTACAAGCAGAAACACCTTCTGTTAGTATATCCTCCAAAAAAGGTGGTCTTGGCGGTGGTGGCACAAAAAGACCATTCCATAAACCATTTTCACCACTGTGAAATTCTAAAGGTGATCCAAAAATTTCATCATCAAAATTTTCTTTAAATGCGTCTATTCCTTTAGACTCATTATAAATACTTTCTTGATCTCCTGCCAAAAAACTTCTAACATCAGACGAGTTAAACGGTAATTTAGATAAATTGTAAGATGTAATGGATTTAGTCGTCGAAGAATTTATAATTTGTGACGCATTTTCAATTATGACGGATGCCATTTTTTTTATTTGCTTTTATTTTTACAATAAATTAAAAGCTAAATATAAAAGCTTAATCTATTTGTTGCCTGGTTGCTCCTTACAAGAAAATTATTCTCAAATAAGTGTACTCATTATACACCTGCAAGGAAAAAACATGGTAGATATGTAGATATGTATAATGAATTCTACATTTAGAGTATGCAACGAATCACCTGCAATAATAAATTCAACAAAAGGTAAATTTGCGAAGAAGGCCTTCTCATATTTTCAGAATTAAACATTTAAATTTTATTATTTTACCCTAAATTTGTATTATGCATTAATATACACACATGTGTACATAAAAAATGATTAAATTAAGTTATATCACATTATCAAAATCTTTGCGATAATTTTCACAGATTTTTCCGATTTAAAAAATTAGTTTTATCCGGACTTTTAATATTCGTTAATACATACGTACATAGAAAAATCGTGGATAAAACTATTGTATTTACAATGAACACATGTGAAATTAATATATCAACAATGCTGACAGTTTAAAAATATGTTTTAAAATCATTATAAAGTGTTGGTGAACAACGTATTACCAAAACTACAGGCGAACCCATGTATGAAGAATGCATTTCAGAGCAACGTCTTTTATTAGCAAAAGAAAATAACGTTCATTCATTTCTGTTATGAGCAAAAAGTTTGCAAAAGAAGAAGACCGTTTTCTGTTGAAAGTTAAAAAAAATGGAGTAATACCGAAATTTCAAGATTGGGTGTTAAAAAACTTTTAATATACAATTTATTTTCGTTATAGAATTTTCGTTATTTTCGAAACATTTTGGAGCTAGCTTGAAAATTTTTAGAATTTCTTGAATATGATGGATCTGCATACATGTGGATAAACATTTTTTTTGTTCATTTCAGGAATTTTGCAAAATTGAGGCTTCTGACAAAATAAATCTGGCAAAAAAATTTATTATTCATAAATGTATGTACCTACTTATACATAAGTAAAATCGTTTCGAAATATCCGATAAAAGAAATGAACACTATGCAATTTTCCGATACGTTTTATATAAACGGACTCGATTGTTTGTAAATTTATAAGTATGTACATATACAATATACATATACTTTGAAAAATAATATTTTGAATGAGGCTCAAATATTTAAAATTTATGCAAGTAGCCTACGGAGGATCTGAGATACCCTTCAGAATAAAATAGTAAAAAATAAAAAAATTTTATTAATTATTCAAAAAGGCAAAGAACTCGCGTATTTAAACACATTTTTAAACATAATCGATATAAAATTTTTGCATAAATTGCGATATTAAAATGAAAAAAGAGAATGTTCAAAGAATTTTTTATGTACTTATAAAAAATTAGTGAAAATTAAATGAAATTTTTGATTGCAGGGATATGAGCGGAAAAAAGGAGCAGCATTAAGTACCTGCTCAGATACTGGGCTCCATATGTGTTTGATGCATCCAAAAGTGGATTAAGAAAATATCTACAACATTGAAGCGGAAGATTTAATCTTATAAAATCTTGCATTTGTTCAAATAGTATTTTGATAATCAATTGCAGGTATGGAAATAATTTTTCTTTTTTCTATAATTTCTTTGTTTCTACTAATAAAACATTTCAGCATGGAGGGGGTTTTGTATGAATGTATGTATGTTTCTTAAACTGTATGTGAACATTTCGTAAAGTAACAAATTTCCTGAGAATTTTTTAGATTATTTTTCTTTGTTTATACAATTAAAATCAATTAAATTTATTAACATTTTTGTTACGAACCTCCCATGTCACTATTATTGTACTTTTATATACTGTACTGAATTCTTTAAAATGAAATAATGAAAGGAAGAAAATTTTGTCATCATGCTACACAATCTGGCGTACGTACATATGTACCTTTAAATAAAATTTACGTATGCATATGTATATGTATGTATGTATGGGAATACATGCATGTTTACAGACATATAAATTTTTTTTTTTTTTAAATATCTCTCCCCATCCCGTTGTTTTTTTCGGTATATTCCTTTAATCGTGCATTTTCTAAGAATTAAATTCAGTTGCGAAATCAAACTCGTCATGCAAGATACATACATACATACGTATGCATATGTAGGATAGGAATAAACAATAATGTTATGCGGTGTTAATTAGGTCTCGTAAGTCTTTGATTGGATTTTTTTTTGCTTTAAAAAGAAATCTAACCACGACAGCAAGTTTGTTGACGACATTTAGCATTCTCAAAAGTTAATGTTGGCATTTTTTTTCTTTTTCTTGAGACATTATGTATGTATGTATATGTATGTTTTATAAATAGTTACATAAAATGTTTATGTTATTTTTTCATTGTAAAAAATTACAAATAAAAATAATTCCGCTAAAAATTACTATCCTGTTGATTTTTAGTCTTATATAGAAGAAACCCTTGTGTGTGAACGATATATAAACCTATAGAATTTTATATGAAAAAAAAGTACGCAATTTTTACATACATACATATATGTACATACATACAAATGTATAATTTATACATACGCACATTTATACAAAATCTAGAAACGTTTTATAATACTAGAGAAACTTAAATTGAAAATTCCAATATTGAAAAAGAAAACTATTAGAAATAGAGAAAATATCAATAAATTTTATCTCTATTTGGAAACTAGCGCTTTTACATTTTCCTAGAGATTGAAAAATAAACAAGTTGTTTTATAAAAATTGCATTTTGTGAAACATAAACATACAAATTCAATATTTGTATTTTTATCCCACATAAGCTATTCACTAGGCAATTAAATATTAATTTCTACTTTATTATATATAAAATTAAATTAAATATATGAATTAACTCAGATTTTGTGCAAGTTTCATTATGATTTATGATGAATTAAAATGTTTTGGACAGTGGAGAATTATATACAATTAATTCAAATAATTCGATGCTCAGATATTGTAAGTAAATCAAAACAAATTTAATTAAATAATATAGATTAATACTATTGCATAAATAAGAAATGGAAATTAGAAAAAAAAACATTTCAAAACTTTTAAGGAAAGGAATTTTCTTCTAATGTTATCCTTTCAATGGAAAATAAATTATTTGTTGTAATAATTGAATGGAATTTCTCCAAGGATATTAACTTCAGCAACCCATGGTTTTCTTGGAAGTTAAGAAAGTTATGCAACAATAAAAATAAGTTATGGCGTTAATTTCTTTCTTTGAGCGGCGCCAATGACTATTCTCAACTGATCTATAATAGTAAATTATGATTATGAAAATTATATTTTAAAAGCTTAGAAGAATTTGATTCTTAATCCCAAAATCTTTTGGAAATTTTTAAAGGATAGTAGAAAATGTGATAATAATTCAACATTTTTATAATTCAGTGATTCTACGAGTAATAACTTTTTCTCTGAATCTTATTTAGTCGTTTTTTTCCTGGACCGGAAGGCGTTCCCTTTGGCTTTTTTTCAGTTTTTATTAAATCTACTTATTTTTAGTTCTTTGGCTTAAGGAAGTTTTTATTAAATCTACCCATAACAAAGAGTAGTAAAAGTGACGTAGCTAATTATCGTACTGCATGTTGCTAAACTTTAGGCCATTCCCAAGATCTTTGAGTTGTTTATTTATGACATCATATGTTATCATTGTATTCCTTTTATTCAAAGAAATCAATTCTCAAACTGATTGACATAAATTGCACAGACTTCAGCAACGCCTTTGACAATATTATACGGTGAGTTAAATCATGCCCTTTCGGACGGAATTTCGGAGTTCTCTTTCGTTCAGCGAATTTACTTCATTATCTCGGCGAACTATGTTGCCTCGGTTTTGTCTAGTGAGGTGATAATCTATGCTGACGATATAAATATCTTTAAAAAGATCCACTCTGTAAAAATATGAATTGTAGTAAGATTTAAAAATTTCGATATTCATTCCCTATACTCGTAATAATCTAGGTTTCAATATGTTCCATATAAATACCATCAATCAGTCTTCAACATAAATTTCATTTAAAAACGTTATTATACTTTTACAAAATTGGAAAAATTAGACTTAGTAAAACACTATTTGTTCTATCCAATGTTCATAATTATTTAAAGCATTCGGTGTTAAAAAACTAAAATAAGATAGATATGCAGTCGTAATAATTCTTGTGATTTAAAAAAGCAAATTTATTATTTTATTTCTCATTAGGAAAACTAATTAGGCATACAAAATTTGTAAAATAATCATAATAATAAAATTATGTGCTTAATTAAACGATAAATGGTAAGTATCCAGCGATGTTGGGAACCTGTTTTTTTATTTTATGTATGTACCTACATATATATATATATATATGTATTTTTCTTTATAACGTTTCATTGTTACTTAATTATTGTCAAGTTTATATCAAAACTATAGAAATATTAAAAAGAATACAATAATAAAAAATGATAAAAAATAAAGTAAAAAAATGGATACTAATGATGAACAAGTATTAATTTTAAAGTTAGTATAAAAATATCCCGTAGCTTTGCGAAACTTGCAATAATGATAAATTATTGAACTTCATTTTAATTTTGAAATAAAAAACAAAAAAATAGAAAGTGATAATTACATATAAAAAAAAGATCTTTTAAAGTTTTTAATCTTCAAACAGAAATTTTTAAATTTATATTAAACTAGTTTATAATAAAACATAAACCATAATGGTGATGTGGCCATCATATATTACATGAAACTCAAGCACATACATACATATCATATCATAATATTATATGGTTTTCAAATTCATAATATTTTGGAATATGTGTACAATATTCTATTGCATAGTATGAAATGACCATTTTGTTTGAATCGTGAATAGTTTGTAATTGGCATATTGCAGTTTTACTTTTGAGTTTTTAACAATTACTTGCGTTTTAAGATTTGAGCAGTGGCATGGGAGAAATAGGTAAAATTCTAAATGTAAGTTAACCTGTATTATGTGAAGTGCAGTTAAAACTCTACATTACTGCTGCAGTATATCGAAATTGTGCAACAATATTGATTTGTTGTTGTTAATGTTTGATTGACACTTGAATAAAACTTCAAAAACAATGAAAATAGCTTTTTAGTTCTAACATTGTGTATATTTGAAATTAAAATTTCGAACTAGGTGGAGCTATTCTCTACTCTAATGCGATTGTGGTGCACTGA